CACATGGTCTCTGTCTCAACTACTTAACTCTGCTTTTTTACCACGACATCAGCCACAGAAAATACATGCACTGAGTGGGCAATTCTGTGTCTCAATAAAACTTTATTTACAAAAACGGTTGGTCAACACGCGGGCCATAGTTTTTCAGTCCCCGTTCCAGATTGAGACAGCCATCATTAAAGCATGGGATAAACACCGAGGTGCCATATCCCACAGAGTTACTCTTGAGACTGTATCAACCCAACTACTCTTTCTTCCAGGCACTGATGACAGAGAAATGGAAGGATTCCACCAGCGAATAATTTCATGGTCAGCTTCAGGACCCTCTGGAATAATCTACTTATTCCAAGATGAGATGACTCTTCTGGGTAAAGCCTCCTTCTCAGAATAATTTCTCTCTCGTAAAGGTGAACCCTATTATCACATCAACTCTACTCAGCACTGTTAGACACAGTTTGCCCCAATTCAATCCAACACCTACATCAAAAGGCCCGTCTTATAGCCCTTTGAGTGAGGCCGTCCAGTGCTGTCAGTACCTTCCCTTGATCTCCTCTTTTTAAAATATTCTAAAGACTCTCTAGTTGGTGGTCTGCCTTTGCTGTGCTGGATCAAGCCATTATCCTGAGCATCTTTTTTTTTAATTTTTTTTTTCAACGTTTATTTATTTTTCTGACAGAGAGAGACAGAGCATGAACGGGGGAGGGGCAGAGAGAGAGGGAGACACAGAATCGGAAACAGGCTCCAGGCTCCGAGCCATCAGCCCAGAGCCTGACGCGGGGCTCGAACTCACGGACCGCGAGATCGTGACCTGAGCTGAAGTCGGACGCTTAACCGACTGCGCCACCCAGGCGCCCCATCCTGAGCATCTTTTTTTTAAGATTTTATTTTTAAGTAATCTCTACACCCAACATGAGGCTAGAACTTACAACCCCAAAATCAAGACTCACATGCTTCACCGACTGACCCAGCCAGGTTTCCCCTGAGCATCCTTTTTGAGGACTGGACGTCAACAGGGAGGAAACAAAAAAAAACAACGCTTGTTCCCAATAAGATGTCCTAGTTTTCATCTTTTCCTATAGATTCAGGGAGATAGCCAGTCTTCCCCCTTTAGCAACAAAAACAACAACAACAACAACAAATCAGAAAAGCTGTCATGTATTCAAATCCCTGTCTTCTGAACAAACGTTGAATGTACTGGTTGTTTCGTATTAGAAGAACAGAAAGGGGGCACCTGGGTGGCTCAGTAGGTTAAGCGTCCGACTTCGGCTCAGGTTATGATCTCACGGTTTGTGAGTTCAAGCCCCGTGTCGGGTTCTCTGCTGACAGCTCAGAGCCTGGAGCCTGTTTCGGATTCTGTGTCTCCCTGTCTCTCTACCCTTTCCCCAACTTGTGCACTTGCTCGCTCTCTCAAAAATAAATAAAAACATTAAAAAAAAAGAACTTGTAGTCTTCAGGATTGGATTTAGTATGAATAACCCTTACTGAGTGCTTATTAAGTGAAAAATGAACCCAATGCCTTTAAGGAAACACTTACATGTTTAACACTGAGACCTAGAACAGCGGAAGTTGGTGCCCTAGGGGGTCATCCAGTCCACCATCAGCGTTTGTAAATAAAGTTTTATTGGAACACAGACTCACCAATTTATTTGCATTTTGTCGATTGCTGTTTCCATGCTTCAAGTGCAAAGCTGATCGTCGTGTTAGAGATGAGTGGCCTGAAAAGCTAAAAATATTTTGTCTGGCCCTTCACAGAATAAAGGCGGCTGACACCTGACCTACAGAAACCATCTTGCTTCCCCCAAACAGGAAGACACTGAAGAAGTTCCTAATCCCAGTGAGGTCCACTGATTGGCATGTTCTTTCCCACCCTCATGGTCCTAGTAATGTCAACGGACAAGCTGTAGACTAGTAAATTTTTAGCACCCTATTAAGATAGCCCTACTTTACCACTTCCAATGTGGGGACACATTTTGGTATTAAAAGTTTTAAGAATTTGTTTCTAAATTGTTAACTTCTGATATAAAAAGAGCTGTATCCTGCTGCCAGAAATCATAGTCACTCTTGTTTGAAGAGCTTATTTTTGGTGCGCCTGGGTGGCTCAGTCAGTTAAGCGTCCGACTTCAGCTCAGGTCATGATCTAGCGGTTCGTGTGTTCAAGCCCCGCGTTGGGCTCTTTGCTGACAGCTCAGAGCCTGAAACCTGCTTAGGATTCTGTGTCTCCCTCTCTCTCCGACCCTCTCCTACTCACACTCTGTCTCTATTTGTCTCTCAAAAATAAATAAACATTAAAAAATAAATCATTTTCTTAAATTTTAAATTAAACTCTAAGCCCAATGTGAGGCTTGAACTCACGACCTCAGGATCAAGACTCACATGCTCTACCAACTGAGCCAACCAGGCACCCTAATCCTGCATACCGTTAAATATAACTGGAAAGCTAATGCTTCTAAAGAACGCATTAATTATCTCCATATGATAGGTATATTTTTCAGAAAAATCCCTAATTTTTAAAGATGCTTCTTGCACCCTGTAATTAAAGATACCACCACATGAGTGAATTGCAACCTTATAATAATGATTTTTTTATTATTGAACAGAGATCAAGATAATACAACTTAAAATAAATACAAAGATAACTATTCTCAAAGTTGGTGCTATGTGTTTAATATAACAGAACACAATAGATTTAGAGACTTATTTGAAAATTAGATTTTTTTGCCACAGATTACTTTGTATTAATCTAATTCCTTTGATAAGGACTGGTCTGTTTCCCAGTATCTAAAAATGGTTGTTTCTTTGGAAGCCACTGTAATTCCCGCTGTGAAGCTAATTACAGCTTCTACCCTAAACAAGGGTCATTAAAGACACAATCGTGTTGAAAATATTCTCAAAATTCCCCTTGAGAAACAGATTCCTATTTTCTGCTCAGCAGCAGATTCTGATTCTTCCAACAGATTTTGACATAGGCAGCAACACTCTGATTTTTATCTCTTCTAAATTTATCTACTTCCCTTTTTTTTCAAGTTCCTGGACACTTTGGTGCTTTTCTCCTTATTTGTTTCTGCTGTGCAACCACCAAGGCTTTGCATCGGTAATTCACAAATAAAAACATCACTAGGTTCCCCTATAGTACTCTCAAAATATGTTTCTAGTTGTTAAAGAAAATGTATGTTCTACAAAATTCAGGTGAGAAGAAAGAAAAGTTCACCTGTAACCTTAGAAGGATGTCATTCCAGGGGCACCTGGGGGGCTCAGTAGTTGGGCGTCCGACTTCGGCTCAGGTCACGATCTCAGATCATGGTTTGTGGGTTCGAGCCCCGAGTCGAGCTCTGTGCTGACAGCTCGGAGCCTGGAGCCTGCTTCGGACTCTGTGTCTCCCTCTCTCTCTGACCCTACCCTGCTCATGCTCTGTCTCTCTCTCTCTCAAAAATAAATAAACATTAAAAAAATTTTTAAACAAGTATGTCATTCCAGGGAGCCTGGGGGCTCAGTTGGTTAAGCACCTGTCTCTTGGGTTTAACTTACGTCATGATAATGGAGGTTCCTGAGTTCAAGCCCTGCATGGGGCTCTGTGCTGTCACTGTGGAGCCTGCTTGGGACTCTCTCTCTCTCTCTCTCTCTCTCTCTCTCTCTCTGTGCCCCTTCCCCACTCACTCACACTCTCTGAATGAATGAATGAATGAATGAATGAATGAATGAATAATAAATAAACTTAAAAAAAAAACAAGAAGTATGTCATTCTGGGTTGTTGGTGCATTTTCCAAAGCTGATATGACAGACTGATTGCATACATAGCTATGATTCTCCAGCCGTGAGAGTCACAGATGACTTTCCATTTCTTCCCATCAGTCAATGGAATCTATCTCTCCAACCTTTCTTTTTTTTTATTATTCCTTTTGAGAGAGACAGAGTGCAGCAGTGGAGGGGTAGAGAGAAAGGGAGACACAATCACAAGCACATTCTGCATGCCAGTGTGGAGCACGACTTCGGCAGGGCTCAATCTCACAAACCGTGAGATCAGGACCTGAGCCAAAATCCAGAGTTGGATGCTCGACCCACTGAGCCACCCCGGCACCCTTATTTTCTCCAACCTTTCAATGCGCTCTGAGCTTGTGATTGCTTTGGGCAGTAGGATGCCTGCAGACACATGGTGTCAGCCCAGACTTGGAGATGCGTCTTGTACATGCACGTCTTCTCCCGGATTCCATCACTCCCCAGCCTAGCCCACCGGACCGGGACATCCCATGTGGAGCAGTGCTCAGCCACCCCAACGCTGGGCATCCCAGACCAGCCAGCCGACGGCCACACCCCGCCAGCCAGCCTCAGACACATGAAGGAGCCCGGCCAAGACCCGCTCCATCTAGCCCGGATGACCACAACCTGTGAACCCATTCAACATGCCAGTAACTGTTGCTTTCCCTCACCGAGTTTGCAGAAACTTCTTGTGTAGCCATTGTCAACAGACCCAGTTCCAATCATACCTACCTTTGCACCTAAATGTTACTTAAATTTCCCTTCTTTCTGTAATACCTGAGAAGGATAAAGCAGTTTCCTGTTGTTGGAAATGTATGTTTCTCAGAATAACCTAACAAAGACAAAGAGGTTCTTCCCCAAGTGTTTGCTGTGCACATGATTGAGTGTGTGTCTGAGGAAGGTGGGGCAAAGCTATCAGCACATACTAATAAAACACTAAATTTTTAACAGCAAAAACACTCCCCCTCCATTTTTTTTTTTTTTTGGCCTTGTATGGTGTTTCTCTCAGTACTTTACAGGCTATTTCTCCAGTGTTTTCCAGCTCGCATTGTTTATGACTAGAAAATGCCATCCTTCTTATCTTTGCGTTGGATAGGACACATTTGTTTTCCGTGGCTCCTATTAAATTTTTATTTTTATCACTGCTTTTGACCAAATAGATGATGATGTTTCTTGCTGTGGGATTTATGTTTCTTCTCCTTCAGAGTCATTGTGATTCTTGTATTTCTGGTTTATATCCTTTTTTTTTTATCAAGTTACTTAAAAACAAAGTTTAATTTCTTCAAATGTATATTTTTCTCTGTCTCCCTTGCAGTGTCCTCCTGAGGCTCAATCATGTGCAAATTATAGTACTTGCCATTAGTCCGTACCCCACCCCACCCCCGATGCTGTTTCTTTTTCTCGTTCCTTAATTTTACATAATTTTCTGTTAATGTGTGTTACAGCTCACAAATTTTTCTGGGTGCCGTGCCTACGTGGCTGTGAATTATATCCAGTTCATTTTTCGTTGTGCATCTCAGATATGACCTATTTTCTCTCCAAGTCCTGATTTTTTGTCCTTTTTTTTTAATAGCTCCCCATATCTCCTTACTATATTCACTTTCCTCTGTTTCCTTGAGTATGAAGCCTCGCCAAAGCCCTCTTGTCCTCGCGCCATTCTGCATTTATGCTGGTCGCCATGTGTCATGACTGCTTGGCCCCTATTTTTCCCCCTTCTTTTCATCCCCACTAAGCCTTTTTGTTGAATACCCACCTACTGTCCTGTACACATGGCTGGGTGCTATTTCTGGAACGTACCTCTGAGTATGGTTTTCCTTCGTACTTTGGCTGCAGTGAATTTACCTTCAGGTCTTGATTTTGAGTTTGGGGGGAGCAGCACAGGGAAGTCTCCCATGTGGAGCTCATTCGGTCCCACTTTTTAGGTGATGCCACCCTGAGAACGTTGTGAATGGTCCTCTGCGTTAGGTCTTCCCTCTCTGGCTGATGAGGGCTGCGTGAGCACCAGGGATTACTCCAGCTAACCCCTTCTGCGTCCTGGGTCACGTCCACACCCCGGTGCATGTACCCTCATTCTGTCAATTTTCATAGGGCGCCCTTTGGCAGAGTTCCTCCCTAATCGGTTCCTTCTGTGCATTAGTTTGCAGATCAAATTCTACTTGTGTCCACTGCCTCAAAGCTTATCCTCTGCTCCAGGAACAAAGAGACACCCCTTGAGCTCTGCTGTGTTGCCTGTCCTGAACACCAGGAAGCCGGGAACGGAGCCCACAGGGCATACTTGATTTGTTTTTCCTCCCCCTAGTGATCACCACCTTGTGCTGCCTACCGTCCAATATATGAAACGTCCACGTCCCATAATTTTGTCAGGTGTTCCCATTTTGTGAACTGGTACCACGTATCCAGCCTGGGTATTCCATCATGGTCACAAGCAGATGTCTGGATATTCAAGTTCACTTGGAGGGCTATGTTGAAGTTTAAAAAAAAAATTTAATGTTTATTTATTTTTGAGAGAGAAACAGAGTGCAAGTAGGGAGAGGGGCAGAGAGAGAGGGACACACAGATTCCAAAGCAGGCTCCAGGCTCCGAGCCATCAGCACAGAGCCCGACACGGGGCTCGAACTTATGAACCATGAGATCATGACCTGAGCCGAAGTCAGACGCTCAGCTGACTGAGCCACCCAGGCGTCCCATATGTTGAAGTTTTATTCTGCTCTTGATAATTGTTATTGTGGGGGAGGGGGGGGAAGGACTGGACAGGATGGGGGTTTTGATCAGCTAAAACTTGTATCAAGGAAGGCTGTGTTGAGCTAAGAATTCCTTTGATGATACCGACTGGTGTATAAGCTTTCTAGTTCAGTCGGACTCTTTTTTGTCATAATCTTTTTTATTTGCGAGGTGTGGGAAAGGGAAGAAATAATTGAGAGGTAGCATTTTGTGTCCTTCGGTATTTTTTTCTTGCAAAGTTCTATTGTCTCTTTCTTCTTCCCTATGCCACCCATGCTCAAAACACAGCATTTCATCGTGTGTCTTCATCTGACTTCTTCCCAAGAATTGATGCTTTTCCAAGCCTATCACTGTGAAATTTGTAACTTTCCATGCCTCTAGTCAACACTCTGATATTCTAGAACCCTCTATGAACATTTTTGCAGTTAGTGTGGATTTCTCATTTTTAGGAGTACAAAAGGCGGCGTGTTGCTCCTGTTCTCATTTTGGGGGAACATTTTATCTAGAACTCCCCCTAGTTCTCTGCCCAAGATCTTTTGCACCTACATGGGATCTGAAGGAATAGCTCTTCTGGAAATTGATTTCTGTTTTTTTGCATTCTTATTTTAGTAAGCGATGTCAAGTTTATACTCTTTTCTCTCATGCAGTTAGGCAGTAAACATAGGTTTGCTTGGTTTTATGTAGGGCTGTTTTGCGTTCTTGGACTTTGGGGACTATAAGTTTCTTTGAAGACTGTGTTAGGAGATGTAACTTTAGGTGACTCTCATTATATCAGTTTCCTTTGACTGTTTCTTTTTAAATGTTTATTTATTTTGAGATGGAAAGCGTACGAGCTGGGGAGGGTCAGAGAGAGAGAGAGAATCCCAAGCAGACTTCATGCCTGGGGCGGAGTCCAACACAAGGCTCAATCTCACTAATGTAAGATC